AAATTCTGTTGCAGTGTCTCTTTGTCCTCAAGACTCTGAAATTCCAAAGTTTCTATCCAGGGGCTTATCTCTGATTTTAACAGGATTTGAGTTGGAGTGGGTTTCAGCTTTGATTGGTTTTTGCTCTCCTTTGGATTGAATTGCAGTAGAATCTTGGAATCTAAACCCTTTGCAAAATGTGCAACATTTCTCTCTGATTTCTAGCACTCCCCACCCCCACACACCATTTCTTATGAAACAGAATTGTTTTAGGGAAGAATTGTTGTATTAGTATGTTTATTTTGTTTAGAGGCTCTTCCAAGATTACAGTCCACAATAGCAGCCCACACTATTAAAGGATTGAGTGGTGTTTTTTTTTTTTTCATTCCACCGAAGTCTCTCAGCATATGACTATTTCACTCTCTCATCTCTGTGTATCCAGATTAGACAAGTGGCCTTAGATATGAAAGTGACAGCTGCTTTTTGCTCATCTTTCAAGAGCTTTATCTCAGTGTACAATTTACTTCAGTTATGCATTTTCGTGTATATTATACTTCATTAATATTAAAGGAAAATACAACTTTTAGCTCAGACCTAGCTTTTTGTGCCTTGGAAGTTAATGACAGTGTTTCTTGATCTTTGACATCGTATCCACGAGTAGAATTTCTACCAGATCTTCTTAAAGCATAATAGAAATATGTAATATAAGTATAGATGCTAGGTGGGTGATTACTATTAGAGTCACCAGATTATTTTGGGCCCCTGTGTTCATCACTTTTATAGCAACCTTTACTTATTCATTACTCATACTATAATTGATATGATATAACTGTGAGTTTAACATATGAAGGCAGGAACCATGAATATTTCTTCACCATTGTAAATTCAGTATTCCATCAACACAAGTGTGACTTCTATATCCCTTCACGATTGTAATTTCAATACCCCATTAACACATTTTTGTAATGAAGTTTTATGTATTTATTTTTTCCATTTATTTTTATTAGTTGGAGGCTAATTACTTTACAATATTGTAGTGGTTTTTGCCATACATTGACATGAATCAGCCATGGATTTACATGTGTTTCCCATCCCGACTCCCCCTCCTGCCTCCCTCCCCACCCCATCCCTTTGGGTGTTCCCAGTGCACCAGCCCCAAGCACTTGTCTCATGCATCCAACCTGGGTGGGGATCTGTTTCATGCTTGATAATATACATGTTTCAATGCTGTTCTCTCAGAACATCCCACCCTCGCCTTCTCCCAGAGTCCAGAAGTCTGTTCTGTACATCTGTGTCTCTTTTTCTGTTTTGCATATAGGGTTATCGTGACCATCTTTCTAAATTCCATATATATGCGTCAGTTTACTGTATTGGTCTTTATCTTTCTGGCTTACTTCGCTCTGTATAATGGGCTCCAGTTTCATCCGTCTCATTAGAACTGATTCAAATGAATTTTTTAATGGCTGGGTAATATTCCATGGTGTATATGTACCACAGCTGCCTTATCCATTCGTCTGCTGATGGACATCTAGGTTGCTTCCATGTCCTGGCTATTATAAACAGTGCTGTGATGAACATTGGGGTGCACATGTCTCTTTCAGATCTGGTTTCCTCGGTGTGTATGCCCAGAAGTGGCTGGGTTATATGGCAGTTCTATTTCCAGTTTTTTAAGGAATCTCCACACTGTTCTCCATAGCGGCTGTACTAGTTTGCATTCCCACCAACAGTGTAAGAGGGTTCCCTTTTCTCCACACCCTCTCCAGCATTTATTGCTTGTAGACTTTTGGATAGCAGCCATCCTGACTGACATGTAATGGTACCTCATTGTGGTTTTGATTTGCATTTCTCTGAAATTGAGTGATGTTGAGCATCTTTTCATGTGTTTGTTAGCCATCTGTATGTCTTCTTTGGAGAAATGTCTGTTTAGATCTTTGGCCCATTTTTTGATTGGGTCATTTATTTTTATGGAATTGAGCTGCAGGAGTTGCTTGTATATTTCTGTGATTAATCCTTTGTCTGTTGCTTTGTTTGCTATTATTTTTTCCCATTCTGAAAGCTGTCTTTTCACCTTGCTTATAGTTTCCTTGTTGTGCAATTCAATAAAATTTTTGGAAAGGGTGGCAATAGGCCAGAGGTTATCATTCAGTTAAATATATCCTGTAAGAATATTTTGAGGTATCTTTTCTTCTCCTAACTGAATTTCCTACCTGGATTCCTTACAGTCTTATTTATTTCTAATAATTTTGTCTTCTGCATAATAGACAATCGAGTTTGCCTACACACTTAGTAATTTAAGATTTTTAATTGGACTACATACTAAGCCTATAATTTTATTCTGTAGAAAGAGAAATCAATAAGATAAAATTTGTGACCTTTGCTCACAAGGAATAAATTATTGAAAAAGAACTTCTTACAAATCTACTTATGTTTATTTCTTGATAAAGAAGTATCAGTGCAATACTGGCTTTATTTTGAAGAAATATTTGTCTCAAAAAGGTATCTTTTATAGAGAGACATCTTGGGTGACACTTCTAGGGGCTTGTGAAAGATGTATAGTTCTGGAATTTTGTTGATTGTAAGATTTATTTTTAAAACTTTGTAATGATAATTTTGGAGTTATTTTCTTTATGTTTAGTTTCCTTTACTGAATAAAAAGTGTCATTATTGATCACTTTTGGAATAGTAAGGATTATAAAACATTTAGGCAGAATTACATTATTGGTTTATTTTCAAAGTCAGGGAAAAAGGGAGGGCCAAGATAGATGTAGGGAATTAAGAAGGACAAACTACTATGATTGAACTAATAAGCTACAAGGATATGTTATACAGCACAGGGAATATAGCCAATATTTTATAACTTTAAGTGGAATATAATCTTTACAAATTTTGATTCATTTTGTTGTCTACCTGAAAGTAATGAAATCTTATAAATCAATAATAAAGGACAGAAATGGTAGAGACCTAGTGGATGCTGAAGAGATCAAGAAGCGAAAGAATCCACAGAAGAACTGTACAGAAAAGATCTTCATGTACTGGATTACTACAGTGGTGTGCTCAGTCACCCAGAGCCAGACATTCTAGAGTTCAAAGTCAACTGCTGTTAATAAAGCTAGTGGATGTGACAGAATTCCAGTAGAACTATTCAAAACCCTAAAGGATGATGCCTTCCAGATGTTGCATTCAATATGCCAGCAAATCTGGAAGACCCAGCAGTGGCCACAGTACTAGAAAAGGTCAATCCTCATCCCACTTCCCAGGAAGGGTAGTACTAAAGAATGTGCTAACTATCAGATAGTTACACTTAATCTCCCATGAGGTCATGCTTAAAATCTTGCATGCTAGGTTCAGCATTATGTGAACCAAGAGCTTCCAGATGTCCAATCTGGATTTAGAAAAGGAAGAGGAACCAGAGATCAAATTGCCAACATTCTCTGGATCATAGAGAAGGTTAGGGAATTCCAGAAAAACATCTACTTCTTTTTTATTGACTACACTAAAGCCTTTGACTGTGTGAATCATAAAAAAACTGTGGAAAGCTTTTAAAGAGATGGGAACACCGGATCATCCTACCTATCTCCTGAGAAACCTGTTTGCAGGTCAAGAAGCAACAGTTAGAACCCTGTATGGAACAACTGATTGGTTCAAGATTGAGAAAGGAGCACGACAGGGCTGTCTGCTGTCATCCTCTTTGCTGACACAAAGCCTATACACTGAGCACATCATGAGAAATGCTGGGCTGGATGAGTTGCAAACTGGAATCAAGGTAGACAGGAGAAACATCATCAACCTCAGATATGCAGATGATACCACTCTAATGGCAGAACGCGAAGAGGACCTAAGGAACCTCTTGATGAAGGTGAAGGAGGAGAGTGAAAGAGCCTGCTTAAAACTAAGTATTATAAAACTAAGATCATGGCATCCAGCCCTGTACTTCATGGCAAATAGAAGGGGAAAATGTGGAAATAGTGACAGAATTCCTCTTCTTGGGCTCTAAAATCACTGTGGATGGTGACTGCAGCTATGAAATCAGAAGATGATGCTTCTTGGCAGGAAAGCTCTGACAAATCTAGACAACGTGTGAAAAACAGAGACATTGCACTACCGACAAATGTCCATAGAGTCACAGCTGTGGGCTTCCCAGCGGGCTCATGCAGCTGTGAGAGCTGGACTGTAAAAAAGGCAGAATGCCACAGAATTGACACCTTCGATCTGTGGTGCTGGAGAAGACTCCTGAAAGTCCCTTGGACAGCATGGAGATCAAACCAGTCAATCTTAAGGGAAATCAACCCTGAATTCTTGGTAGGACTGATGCTGAATCTCCAGTATTTTGGTCATCTGATGCAAACAGCCGACTCATTGGAAAAGTTCCTGATGCTGGGAAAGATTGAGGGCAGAAGGAAGATAGGGTGTCAGAGGATGAGGTGGCTGGGTGGCATCCCCAGTGCAATGGACATGAACTTGGGCAAGCTTTGGGAGATAGTGAGGGTTGGGAAGGCCTGGCGTGTTGCAGTCCTTGGGGTTACAAAGAGTTGGACATGACTGGGCAACTGAACAACAAGAAGACATAATATGAAAGATGATGACATAGAAGCAGAGATATTTTTCTGTTTTTAAGGAGCCTTTATCAGATAATTCTGCAGGAAGGTTACAAAGAGATCAGCTTGAAAAATTATGAATGTTAACTGTGAAGGAATTTGAATGTGTGGGAGAAATAAGGTTTCAGGACACAGAATTATGTTAGAGGATTCTTTCATGAGAGGTAGTGTAGCATAGTGTTTAAGTGTTGTAGGCTTTAGATCTAGACTGCCTTATTAAAATCTTTTTTTTTTTTTGCTATCTGCTCAATACTAAAATTATTTCATATGGTTATTGTGAGGGTTATACATTAAAGTATTTAGAACATAATTTCTGAAGTACGATAAATATTTCCTGCAGTTATTATTATTATTAAAGTACTACTGGAGCCTTGTTTGCAAAATAATTCTCCTACCTATGACTGACTCTTGATACTTCCTTTTTAGCTCAACTGAAGTTGATGACATGATTCGTAAATCAACAAACCTGTTGCTAACTAGGACTCTAAGCAACTCTCTGCAGAATGTCATTAAAAGGAAGAATATTGGACTTACTGAGGTAACTCTGCTATTATTGGAGGCAGTCAAGGCAATATGTGAATAGATCTCCAAAGCTCTGGGGCTTGTGTGTTAATTAATTACAATTTTCTGTGTGGTCTGTCATGTTATTCATGGGCTCATGGTGAAAGTGCAAATTCCTTGTAGTTTTCTTTTGTTGCCTTGGAGAAATCCAGCATTTTTTTGGAAAAGTAACTTTTTTTCTCTCTCTCATCTGCATTAATTTAACTGGTTTTCCTTTCTGAGGTTATTGGGTTAAATTTCTATTATTTGCTATTGATTATATATTTAAAAAATTGTTGATTGGAGAATAGAGTCAATGTCAGGATCCTGTTTAAAATAATGGCACTTGATGAGTACAACATACAGTATGGAATCACACTTTGCCTACACAAGTCATTGATGCCAGGGATATTAGCATTCATAGTCATTGGTTAGTGTTAGATTCAGATTTTGTTTTTGAGATACATTAGGAATATGAATAGTAAATTACTCTTAATTAGCATGTAACTGGGAATTTAGGATTGAGGAAATGTGAGAGAAAGGCAGTTGTCACATTTCTGTGGAAGCTTACACATTCTCACAAAGGATGAAAGGATATTGTACTTACGTTGAGAACAGTATCTTGGCAAACTGAATATCTGATGCATTGTCATAAGTCCTAAAATTTAGAAAGATGTGAAATTTCCCTTTTCTTATAAACCCAGGTTTGTGTGGGAGTCTCAACCTGCCATTTTATGGAAATCATAGTGTCAAAAGTGAGAGATTGGAGGAATCTTCTTCACAAGCAAAGGGAAAGGCTGTTGGCCATCTGTTTTACCTATATAGGTGGTATAGTTTCAAATTCAGTTGGTCTAGAAAATTGACATTTTTAGGTATATGTTACCAAGGATGAACATTAGAAAGTGATCAACGATACTGACCCATAGGTAAACATAGCTGGAAGCCACGTGAACATCTATTGTTATTTCTGATTTTGGAGTGATTGTTTCTTTCCCTGTATTAATATTTTAAAATACTGTATTATAATATATAAATAATGTATTACAACATGGGACATTGGCAGTGATTGAATTCTACTTATAACCAACTTATTTTTATAGCCTAAAGTCACATTTGACACTATTAGACAATCCCTTCACTTTGCAGTGCTTTGTTTCTGTTGCCTGATATAGAAGTGTTAGTTATTGCCATTTGTGTCTGAGAATAGGCTAACTTCTTTTGTAATCAGGAACGCTACAAAAAAACCAAGTTCGACTGAAAATTTGGCAGTCCCTCTGCTTTTGCAAATTATTCTGTTCTCCTTTTCTAAATCCCAAGTAAGACAAGAATTTTATTTATGAACTACTTTTTCATTAAAGCTCTTGATATAATTCTGCTTCTGCCATTTGATTTAGCAGTCTCTTAAAAGCCTTTTAATTTAATTATTTAATTTTTATTGAAGTTTAGTTGATTTATAATACTGTGTTAGTTTCATGTACCCCCCCCCCAAAAAAAAGAAATTCATTTTAAACAAGTAGCACAGCAGGAATGTGGTCTAGTAGAAAGAGCTTTGGCCACAGAAGGCTCTGGATTTAGTTGTGACTATGCCATTGATTTACTGTAGCATCTTAAAAGAAGACCTAACTCCTTAGCTCTTCAGTTTTTCTGACTCCATTGTTCTTTTCAAGGGTAATGTACAGATCAACTAACAACAGGAAGAAGCAGCAGGAGCTTGTCAAGAAGGACTATATCACATTTCTTGACATTATTTCACTGGATGCTAAATGTTATTGCTAAGTCATTGGATCATTTTAGGCAAAAATACTTTTGTTATCAAAATCTTTGCATATGCATGAAGGAACATCCACAAATATTTATTTATTTTGGCTATGATGGCTGTGTATACTTGTATAGATGCTTACACAACTAGTGATTTTTTTCATTACCAAGTAAATCTTTGACTAACTGTATTATTCAACTTTTATGAAAGGGAGGACATTATATCTTCCTTTATAGGTAACTGAAGTGATTTTTACATCTGAAATCATCATCATAATAAGGCAGTGTTTGTGTAACAATTTATATTCCTCAGGGGCTGTTCACATATAATCACCTTATCTAAATAAGGTGATTTAGCACAATAACATTTGAAGCAGGTTGGGCATATATTATTATTCCCTTTTTATAGAAGGTATAATTAAAGTTCAAGGAGAATGCCCAAGCGAGCAAAATGATAGAAATGAGGCTTGAGTTCAGGTTATTTTTTCCCCAAACTTATTAATATTTACTATACTGTATTGCCTTCCATATTGATGTAATTATTCTATCGTAACAAGGATAGAGATTTTTATAGGAGGTCCGTGGTAACATGGAAATTGTTCTACTTATAGATGATTTTGTAATATATCCACTCAAATGATAGAAGTATTGTAAGCATTCAAAACTCACAAGAGTCCTGTTTCTGGTTACCAGACAGACAATTCATTTAGCATTTACAAGCTCACATAACTTAATGTCTTCCTGCCTATCTTGATTTGCGATTATATGCCATCTCATCTCTTAATTTTTTTCTGTCCATATACTCTATCCTTTTATCTCTTTCTCTCTATAAACTAGCTTTCATACCTTTCACATGACTTCTTTTCTTCCCCGCGTTAAGCCAACTCAACATTACCTTTCATTTCTAGTCCCTACTGTAACTTGAATGCCCTATACTCTCAGACCCTAAGTGATGATCTACATACAGTTCAGTCAGCACGTAGAGCTGTTTCCTAGGGATACTTCTTCCAGGTCTGTGAGAAGAAGGTCAGCTGAGCAGCAGTCAAGAGTGTATGTTCTAAAGCAGACTTCATGGGTCCCAGTTTTGGTTTTCTTTAATAAATATGATCTTGGGTAGATTATTTGGGTTTATGTGAAAAATGGGGACAATAGTAGCATGTATTTCATAAGATTTCTGTGAAGATAAAATGAACAGATAAAGTGCTTAGAATAGTTCCTGGTTCATAGCAAATACTCAATGCATATTGCTTATTATTAAAAAAGAGGTCTGGCAGATAGTGTGATGGTTAGGGCTAGTACAGAAATGGAGTTTTTCAGTTAAGAAAAGTCAGAAGACTAGAGCAAGATGTCCTATTAAGATAAATAATTTTTAAAAATTAACTTTACAGTTTTATTAATTTCCTACTCTGTGACAGGCACTGATCTAAGTCTTAAGAATAAATAAGTAAAGAACACTAAGAACAACAACAAAAGAGATTTTTGCTTATATTCTAGTGGCAGAAAACAGATAATAAATAGTAAATTAAAAAGTAAATCATCTAGTATGATGAAAGCTTGTGAATTCTATAGATGAAGAGAAAGAACCTGGGTTAAGGAAATCAGGAGTCTGGTGGAGGTTCAAGGTTGGTCTTACCAGAAAGAGCAACATATTGACAGTAAGTTATCATTGAAGGGGAAAGGGTATTCTTGGCAGAAGTTAGAACTAGAACAAAGGTCTGAAAGTAGTTAAGTTATTGGCAAGTGTAGGGAATAATAAGGAAGCTAAAGTAGTTGGACTGGAGTGATCTAGGGGAACAGCAAGAGGAAATTAAATCAAAGAGGGACCAGGGATTCATGCTAGGCCATTAAAAAGTGTTTGGCTGTTGTTTTGTATGAAAAGGGATGCCATGGCAGGATTTTGATGGTGGCATGATCTGGCATATTCAGAAAGGACCACATTGACTATGGTATTGAGAATTAAATGTATGGTAGAAACAGGGAGACCAGTTAGGAGGCTATTACAGTAATCCTGCAAGGTTTGATGGAAGCTTGGGGATAGAGGTGATGACAAGTGGTCCTATTTGGACTGTAAAGTCAGTATGGTTTCCTGATGGTTAGATGTAAAGAAAGCAAGTAAATGAGAAATTGATACCTCTCAGTATTTTCATGTGAGCAACTAGAAGGCTGCATATAACATATGCTTTGATAGGAAAAATTTGAAGTAGAGCTAAATTTGGGGTCTGACTCTGCAATCCCATGGGCTGTAGTCTACCAGTCTTCTCAGTCCATGGGATTTTCCAGGCAAGAGTACTGGAGTGGGTTGCCATTTCCTTCTCCAGGGGATCTTCCTGACCCAAGAATTGAACCTGGGTCTCCCACATGGCAGGCAGACGCTTTACCCTCTGAGCCACCAACCTAGATAGCATATTAAAAAGCAGAGACATTACTTTGCCAACAAAGGTCCGTCTGGTCAAGGCTGTGGTTTTTCCAATGGTCATGTATGGATGTGAGAGTTGGACTGTGAAGAAAGCTGAGTGCCAAAGAATTGATGCTTTTGAACTGTGGTGTTGGAGAAGACTCTTGAGAGTTCCTTGGACTGCAAGGAGATCCAACCAGTCCATCCAAAAGGAGATCAGTCCTGGGTGTTCATTGGAAGGACTGATGCTGAAGTTGAAACTCCAATACTTTGGCCACCTCATGCGAAGAGTTGACTCATTGGAAAAGACCCTGATGCTGGGAGGGCTTGGGGGCAGGAGGAGAAGGGGACGACAGAGGATGAGATGGCTGGATGGCATCACCGACTCGATGGCATGAGTTTGAGTAAACTCCGGGAGTTGGTGATAGACAGGGAGGCCTGGTCTATGATTCATGGGGTCGCAAAGAGTCGGACACAACTGAGCAACTGAACTGAACTACTGAAATTTGGGGTAGAGGAAGATTGGGGATTTGGTACTGGACATATAATTGTAGTGTTATTAAATGTAGTTTGAGATACTGAGTTAACAGATGTATATATGAATTTAGTGTGAGAAAGTGATTTGACCTGGAGATTAAACGTTGGGAGTATAAAAATTATGTTTATAACCACCTGACTGCATAATATTGCTTTATTTGTAAAGATGCAGAGAAATAGAGGAAAACAATAGAATGGGAAAGATAGAGATCTCTTCCAGAAAATTAGAGATACCAAGGGAACATATCATGCAAAGTGAAAGAAAGTGAAAGTGAAAGTTGCTTAGTCATGTCCAACTCTTTGCGACC